GCTTCTTGTCTTCTGAAACTGAATTCAAGTTCAACTACGATCTTGTGTTACTTCTCTCTTAGTTACTGTTTATTTAATTTTCAACATATCAGTGTCATTTTGTTTGCATATGTATGTTATTACCAAACACTTTGCGCATGAAGAAAAAAAGATTTCTCTAGACATGCAAAAAGACATGATTATTAAACCCTAATGCAAGACAATTCCTTGCGTAACAAGAATGATTCAAAATTCTAGCACAGTCCGTGATACATCAAGATTGTGGTGATCAGATACGGTTAAGGTAATGGAGGTGTTTTAAGATTCCATCTTCTGTGTACTAGTTGTAAATGTAAGAGCTTTCTTATTATCTTAAGAGATGTATAGAGAAATGTTATATACAGCATATGGAGTAGTCTCCAAGTTATCGTATTAACTATGCTTTCTATAACTAGAGACTAGAATATTGAGACAGCTATTATGATTGATCTCTGTAGATCAGTAGAAGGATCTTGTGTATCCTTAACACTAGTTACCTACACAAGATCAACCTTCGATTCAATTTTAGCCTGGTGTATATCGGGTTTCTTTAAACCGGATTCAGTTTATAACAGGAACAAGTGGTATTTTTCCAAAGGATCATACCAAGTATTTGGTTTAAATATTAGAGAAAAATGTGAAAGATGACAATGTTTGTATTGAGAAAGCTATTGCCGATGATTATACCGAAAATCATCTATACAAACTCTATGGCTGTAGGACCGGACAATCTAGCCTATAGAAAAAACTTTACAAACTCATAAAACGATGCATTCATTCCAACCAATTTTATCAAAAAGATATACAAACTCACAAATCCCGGATGATAAGGTACTAAACAAATTACGACAATTACGCTACAAACATATAATCAAACAAAATCATAATAACAGTTTCAGATTACACCCTATAATTAAGCTATTATTCAAACTCACTATTATTACACAATATAAGTTAGGAAACAATAATAATATTCATTCAGTACATAAGATTTGCGTTACAATAATTCAAAAAAAAAAATATTACAATATAAAACCACTCGCTTAAGTCCAACGTAAGTACAACCTCTTGATACATAAAAAATGGCTTCCCCTCGACATGAAATCACGCCAATTGAAAAATAAAAACATCCCTCAAACGATGCTGCTTCTGGAGCCAAATCATCAGCGGCTTTCCAAGCCATAAAGCTGAGCTACCTATATGAAGATCCTCCCAATGCTGTGAAGAAATACCCAGAACTACTAGAGTTATGTTTGATGAGTAACAACCAGAACCTCACTACATCGAGGGAGTGATGGAGTAAACCCTCGGTAGTATTGCGGTGGTGTAAATACTCCATCACTCCCTAGATGTAGTGGGCTTGTGGATTGTTATTCTTCAAATATAATTTTTATTTTAATAGTAGGATCATATAATTTTTGCATCTGATATGTGGGATTTTAAAGAACAAAAAATTGTTTTTCCATCTAATTTTTGATTCGTATTTATGTTTCAGTAATCATAGTACATAGATAGTTATTTCAAATATACGACATTCAATATTATTTGAATTCTTGTTTTCTCTTTTTTTTTTTAAATTATTCACACTTTGGTTTGCAATTATAGTAATAGCATTTTCAAGAAAAGAAATATGCATATAACCTAAATTACATTTTTATGTATAAAAACAAATTATAACATAATTTTAAATATATATAATATTTTTAATAATAAAAAAAAATATATATCTATCTTTACATAAAATAAGATAAAATTTTCTTTCTCTTTGTAATTTATTATTTACAAATAATTTGCTTCTCAGTTTGTAGTAATAAGAAATATTTTTCATTAAACTGATTCAGTTTTAAATAATTTTCCAGGGTTATTTTTTCTTGATGCTACTTTTCCTTTATGACAACTTAAATTAAATGAATTATAAGAAAAATACTACATAGTAAAAATGAAGTATGTAATAAAATGATGCATGAAATTTGATTTTTTTACCAAACATATGTAATAATAATAAATTTTTAATGACCATAATTTTCATATGACCAAACACATAAAAAACCCAAACATGACAATATTCTATTTTTTATGATTATTCATGTAGAATGTAATAGCAGTAAAACATTACCAACACAATTATAATATGAAGTATAATAACAGAAAAAATTGAAGTTATATAAAGGTATGAAAAAGAGACATTTATTTAATGATATTCAAATAATACAAAAATAATAAAATATAACATTTATATATTATAATTTTAAAATATCACTTGAATTTAAGAGTTTTAAGTTTTTTTAAAAAAATTGTCGCTTGTTTTTTTTCTTTACTTTGTTCTTCTCTTCTTCTTTTTTTTTTTGCGTTTTTTGCTTCCGTGATTCTTATCTATGGAAATTGACTAAACAGAAAAGCAACAATTTAAGTATTAAGTTAAATTATATATAAATCTACCAAACATAATATAATACATCTACATTTATGTGTTTATGATTGAGGATGCGTTTTGAAATTGCAGTGAGTAGGGTTCTTGAGAGAATGTCATTATTCAAGATACAAAAAACGTTTAATTACCTTTTCAACGAAATCTTAATCTTCAGAGCTTCTTTTATAGTTCTAAGCTATGTTTTGTACATAATAAATAAAATAATGCAATTCCAAACATGTGGCAGTAATGAACAAAGTAATATTTCATGTAATTAAACGTTTTTTTCATATGGACAAAGTATTACTGTTTAGTGTTTAGTGATTCAATGTATTGAAATTTAGTTTGTTTTCAATATACAAGAATTATTTTTATTTTTTTTTGATAAAGGGCTTAATATACAAGAATTATTTTAAAAATACATTTTTAAGTTAACGTAAAAAGTCCATTTTTCGACCCAACTCACTCATAGTAATCCTAAGTTTACCTTTGCTCTCTCAAGATGAACTTTCGAGGTTTTAATGTCTTTGAAACACTAGCCAAAATTGCTTCTTTTAATTTTTTTTTCTTCTCTAATGCTTATCCATCTTGATTCTGCTTCAAGTTGGATTCCTTAGTTACTTTAAAGAGTTTATTACTTTATCTTCTAACTTATTTTTGCTATAACGAATGTCAACAAAAATGTCATGTTTCTATATTTTTTTTTTTTTGAACGCTATGTAACGTTTCTATTTATTTGTATATTTTGGTATGTGATCGTTGTTGGCCGTGCAAACGGTTCGGTTTAAAGCGGTTTAGATCTATTAGCCATTAAATGTGTACCTATAGACCGAGTTAAACCATGTATTTTTTACGTTATTTATTAGCCACTCAAAATCCAACCGGCATTAAGTAAGGGACACGGTTTGGTTAAAAGAATGTCCGTCAAAAATCCAAATTCAGTTAATTGTGATAAAAATTTCACAAAGATACTAGAAATTTTTTTGACATATTTTGATTGTTTTCTAATGTTTCTTACGATTATTATTTTCCCTGGAAGCTAGCTGCTTGTATTATTTCCTAATCTTTTTTCCCAGAAAGGTGGATATCGGATTATAAATGTCCAACCCAAAATCCAACCGGCATACACGGTATTAGACTTGAGCAAAAAAACTGGAACCGAAAAACTGAACCGGAATTGAACCGAAATACTCAAAACCAAAATCAGATCGAAATTCTTGAATATTCGAATGGTTCTTATATTTCTATACCCGAAAAACCGAACCGGAACCGGAACCGAACCGAGAACCGAACGGGTACCTGAATATCCGAAAAAACAAGTTATACTTTTTAAAATAAGAGAAAATGACATCAAGTCCACTTGAACCCATGTTATATACAAAGAGTAAGTATATTTTTACCACTAGACCACGTTATGTTTTATTTGTTCTGTTATATTATAAATATATATGGTATTTCTATATTAAAATATGATAAATATTTATAAAATTAACATTTTATAAATTCGAACTCTTGTTGGATTAACTAGTATGTAAGCATGTATACCCTAAAGCATTTAAACTAACATATTAACTAATATATTTTGTATATATATATTTGATTTATTTATTAAATGGGTATCAAGAACCGAATCGAAATCGAACTAGAACCGAACCAGAACCGAACCGAAATCTCATAAATATCTATTGGGTATAAGAATGATTTATCCGATATACCTGGAACCGAATGGTTCCTATCCGAAACTGAACCGAATATCCGAATGTTCAGGCCTACACGGTATGGTTAAAAGAATATCCGTCACAAATGCAGAATGGGCTAATTGTGATGACAAAAAAAACTCACAGAGATACTATAAATTTTTGACATATTTGGATTGTTTTCTTAATGTTTCCTACGAATATTATTTTACCTGGAAGCTAGCTGCTTGTATTGTTTGCTAATCTTTTTGCCAAAAGAGGTTGATATCGGATTACAAAATGTCTTTTGCTCCTACTATTGTTAGTATAAAATCTTCCTTCAAAGAAAAGAATTTCTTCACAATCAATATGATAGAAATAAATCCTTCATAATTCATACCTTCTATAATGTCTTCCTACTAATATAAAATTATTATTAAAAATTGTTTTTATAATTAATATACATAAAAATTCATTCTCTAGACATGTTTTCTAAGATTGTCGTAATTTCAATTAAAATCCAGAATTTGAAAATGAACAACTCGATTACTAGTAAGTACTTTTTGGTTTCTCTTAAAAGACTATAATTATTATTCTTGCATATAATTTTTTTATGGTATCTTTCCCAATAAAATGTTTTTTTTTACAGAAAAATTGAAAATGTTCTATTGGATAATGCAGATCATCTAGGCGTGTCCATGGTGGAAACTTCTTAAAAAGGAGAGATGTATTTAAATTGAATCCATTGTAAATGGTAAAATATCTTTATATAATATGGAAATGTAACTAGGACCATTGAAACAAATAAAGAGTTAAAATTTCTGATATCAAAACACCCTTTAAGCTTTTATTTCATAAAATAATACCAACTTTTACACACGAGTAAAAGAAAATAGATGATGAAACCTGTTCCAAGGCTTAGGGTTATCATCTCAGCTACTTTCGTGTTCTGTCTTTTCGTTGTTTTCCAAATCTATAAATCAGATTTGTTCGAAAAAAATTATCAAATCACTCATCAAGTAAACAACATCTTCATATCCATCGCTTCTTCTTCACACCATCAAACCCCAAATCTCACCAAATATTCCAACGAGAGTGATGGAAACAGAGCAAAACCACCCGAAGACCTCGAAGAAACAGATACTTGTGCAGGAAGGTACATATACATGCACAATCTTCCAAGCATATTCAACGATGACATCATCAAAAACTGTCGAGCACTCAACAAATGGTTCAATATGTGTCCCTTCATGGTCAACTCCGGTCTCGGTCCCCAGGTTCTAGAGTATGATAACAAAACATCTCAAGTCTTAACCACGAAAACCGGTTCTTGGTACTCAACAAACCAGTTCTTGCTATCGGTTATCTTCCGAGAGAGGATGAAACATTACGAGTGTTTGACCAACGACTCATCACTAGCCTCGGCGATCTACGTCCCCTACTACGCGGGATTCGACGTGAGCCGTCACCTCTGGGGATACAACACAACAGTTAGAGACGCACTAGCGACAAAGCTGGCTAAGTGGCTTAGAGAGAGACCTGAGTGGAGGAAACTCCACGGTCGTGACCACTTCTTTGTAACAGGACGGATCGGTTGGGACTTTAGGAGATGTTGGGATGAAGAGTGGGGAAGCAACTTGATGTGCTCGCCAGAATTTTCTAACACGACGATGTTATCTATCGAAACCACTGCTTGGACCAACGAGTTTGCGGTTCCTTATCCGACTTATTTTCATCCAGAGAGCTTAACCGAGGTTAGGAGATGGCAGAGGAAGGTGAAGAGAGTGAAGAGGAGACATTTGTTTTGTTTTGTTGGAGCACCAAGGCCGAAACAAGATGGATCCATCAGGGGAGAGATTATAAAGCAGTGCCTTGCTTCACAAGGTGTTTGCAAGTTTCTTAACTGTAATGAACCAGGTAATGATTGTGATAATCCGGTTAAGATCATGGATGTGTTTAAGAGTTCGGTTTTCTGTTTACAACCTCCTGGAGATTCATATACTCGGAGATCTATATTTGATTCGATTTTGGCCGGTTGTATACCGGTTTTCTTCCATCCCGGTTCGGCTTATAACCAGTATATGTGGTATTTTCCTAAGGATTATACCAAGTATTCGGTTTACATACCGGAGAGTGGAGTGAAGAATGGAACGGTTAGTATCAGGGAATTGTTGGGTAGGATTGGTGAGGAGAGTGTTTCAAGGATGAGAAAGGAGGTTGTGAAGATTATACCAAAGATAATATACACTAAACCGGGATTGGTTAGACCAGAGAACAAGGTTGTGAAGATTATACCGAAGAAAGTATACACTAAACCGGAATTGGTTGGACTAGAGAAGATTGAAGATGCGTTTGACATTGCAGTTGGTAAGGTTATTGAGAGGGTAGCAATGGTTAAGAGGATGATGGAAGAAGGAAAAGATCTTCATAGTGAGTATTCACAAACAAGGGATTTAAAGAAACTTGAGTGACAATCACAATAAAGATTTTTAAAATTATTATTTTTGTGATGCTTGTTTTATAGTAATTTGGTAGAAATGTTAGTGAAAATCATATGTGACATGTTGGAAGAAGATGAAAAGTTTGCTTACTAGTTTGTTTTTTTCCTCACTTTTTTTTGTTTATCGCTGTTTGAATTTGCAAAAAAAAACATATTGGAGAAGCTTACAAAACAAAAGGCCAAGGGTAAAAGTGGAAAGCAAAAAATAGACCAATAGTAATCTTTGGCGAGGATTGTTCAAAGCTCTTTAACTTCCATCTGTTTCTTCACCTTTTTCTCTCTCTCTCTCTCTCCAAACTCAAAACTCTTTTAAAGAGCTTCTGAGAGTGAAAGAGTTGCAAAAGTCTTCACTTTTTAGTTGTACTTTGTGTGTTTGTCTGAAGAATGGTGAGTTCCACCACGATCTCTGCTTCTAGTGCATCAAAAAGATCTCCATCTCCCATACCCCAAAAGAAGATTATGCTTAAGGTCAAGAGCCAACAGGTTTATCTCTCTCTCTCTCTCTCTCTCTCTCTCTCTCTCTCTCTCTCTCTCTCTCTGCATCTTCAAGCTTTTTCCATGGCTGCTTTGATAATGTAGTGTTCATTCTTTATATTTCCCAAAATAGTATTTTTGCATTTACTCCTCTTCTTCACGTTTTACCAACTTTATTATCGATCTAACCAAATTTCCTTGGACAGAAAAATATATCATCTATGCTTTTTTTTATTCTATACATTTTTAATAATTTTTTGAAGAAAAGGGTTACAACATCTTCTTTAGAAAAAAAAATTCTCATATTTGCCTTTTTTCTATGCATTTTTAATAAATTTTTGAAGAAAATCTTCTTTAAAAATCTTAGAAGAAAATTGAAATGTACAATTTTTTTTTATATTAACACAGGATGGAGGAGAGGATGTATACAAGATTGGTTATGGTGCACATCTGAAGAAACTAATGGATGCATACTGCACCAAGAGAAATTTGGACAAACGCACTGTCAGATTCATCTTTCGCTATAAAGAGCTCAAACCAAGACAAACTCCTGCTCAGGTTTTACCTTTAATTTCTTTTTATAATTTTTTTTACTAACTGCTATTATATGTGGTATTAATTAATTTTTTGCCGATTTTTTCACACAGTTGACGATGGAAGAAGGCGACATCATTGATATTGTCACCGACCAAGGCGGTGGTTAATCTCGCCGGAAGCTTTTCATAAGGAAATAACTTTTAGGCGTTTATAAAAAAAGGAAGACTTTAAACTATTTTTAGATCTTAATTATCAAACTCTTGAGTTTCTGGTTTGTGGTTTTTGTTGTTATATCTTAAAGTTTGAAGATATTAATTAAGATTAATGTTTTTTTCTCTCGTAAATTGTGGTTTGATTAGCTTGAAATCTGAGAACCGGAATATCGTAAACCTTTCTTTACCGGTTAACAAATGATACTATCTAAACCAGAAAAGTAATTAGAAGAGAGAAAAAAAATTTCTTCCAAATAGGAGAGCAAAAAAGTAATGCACCAGGCGGAAATCGAACCCGGGTCTGTACCGTGGCAGGGTACTATTCTACCACTAGACCACTGGTGCTTTTGTTGATGGTTGTATCTGTATTTTTAAAGGGCGAGTCTTCATGAAAATGCACTCGAGAAGAACTATACTTCAGGCATCATTTGTTCAACTCACATGTCTTAAACCAAACACATTGTTCGATAACGATGCATAGACCTGTCTTTATGAGCAATGCGTATTACTTCAGGACAATGCTTAACAATAGTTTTCTCAAGACTTATCCGCTCATAAAGATTGTTGGCTGGAGATTCGGGTCTTACCATGAACAGTTCTGAATAATATTCTCTCTCACCATTATGATCTTGTGGTTTTTGAAGGCATGCAAATTCTACTATAAGACACACTGAATAATGAAAACTCATTTGCAATGCTTTCTTGTATCATTTCAAATAAGGGTTGACGAGTTGTATACACACAAAACTATCTTATAATATCAAATGTCTTTCAAACTATAATCACATTCTAAATATTTCCGAATTTAAAGTTAGAAATTCATATTCACACAGATTAAAAGTTTAAAACTAAGAATTCCCCAATTTTCCAAAATTCATATATGTTAATAACATTGGTTTAATATTTTATAATCAAATTATAAACCTTATAAATCAAATTAAAAACCAAATTAATATCCTTTAAAGAATCGCTGAGCTATTTTTAATGAATATTAGATTTGGTTTTAAATCTGATTTATAAGGTTCATGGTTTGTTACAAAACATTAAACCAATTTTAAACAAATGCAATTAAGGTTTATGTGTAATGGAGTTTTTTTTTTTTTTTTTTTTTTTTGTAACATGTAATGGAGTTTTGAATTTTAATATTTGTAGGAGATACACACAGGGTATGTATAATGCGGTCGATTGGTGACATCCTCTGTTCTAAAAATCGGCCGCCTAGCCGCCTATGCGCTAGGCGATCCTCTTCCGCCCCGATTTCTACCAAATCGCCGTAGAAAATCGGTCGTCCGATTTTAACCTGCCTAGACCGCCTAGATGACCGCCTAGTCGCCTAGGCGCCCGCCTAATCCATTTTTTTATTTTTTTTTCTTTTTTTAATAATATTTTTTATATATTTATTTCTTTTAAAAATTAATAAATTATAATTTTGATGAAATTATATCATATTAACTTTGTATATTCTATTTTGTGTGTTTATAAAATTCTAAACATAAAAATGTATTAATGTTATACACAATTAAAGATTAATATATCTAATAACATATCATATAGTCTAAAAATTATACTCCATATAATTCCCGTCTAATCCCCGATTTTTTCTTTAGGCGCTAGGCCCAATCGAGCCGCCCGACTAGCGCCTAGCGCATTCTTGAACATGGGTGACATCTGATGTTACTGAAAATATCTTTCGACCAGTTAAAATATGTTATGTATTTGTAAGTTGATAAACATTTTCGTTTGACTCCTACAAGTTTCAGCGTTTTGTTGAGACGTGTCCATGCGTGATGTGATGATTCAATGACAACAAAACACAAACTAAGGGTATAAACGGAAAATAAAGGATAAAAGTAGACCCACTAATGTTCAAAGGCGATTAATTTCCATCTGTTCCCCTCCCCCTACCAACCAATATATTCTTGTGAGAGTAAGAGTTGCAAAACTCTTCACCTTTTTTTTTTTGTCTATTTCTTATAAAATTTTACGTTGTGTTTGTCTGAACAATGGTGAGTTCCTCAACCACGATCTCTGTTTCACGTGCCTCAAAGAAGTCTCGATCTCCTACACCCCCGAAGAAGATTACTGTTAAGGTCAAGACCCAACAGGTCTCCCTCACTCTTTCCATCTTCAAGCTTTTCATGGCTTGTCTGATAATATATTGTTTTTGTTCTTTTATCTTTCCACAAATAGTCTTTTTCATTTACTCCTTTTCGTCAATTGTTTATCTTAACATCTTTGCTTTTTCTTCTATACAAATATTTTATTTTTTTGTTTATGAAGATTAAGAAAGGATTACAACATCTTGTTTAGAAATCTTAATGTATTAAAAAGAAAATGGAAATGTACATTTTTATATTGTAAACAGGATGGAGTAGAGGATGTATACAAAATAAACTATAGTACGCAGCTGAAGAAACTAATGGATGCATGCTGCACCAAGAGAAACTTGGAAGGCACTGTCAGATTCGTCTTCGGCCAGAAACAGCTCAATCCACGAAGCACTCCTGCTCAGGTTTTTCTATTTCCATTTTTTTTTTTTTACTTTCTATTTTTTTTACCTATTTAACTCCTGTTAATTAATGTTTTCACACAGTTGAAGATGAAAGATGGCGACCTCATTGATATTGTCACTGATCAAGACGGTGCTTAATCTCGCCGGAATTTCTTGATCATATCCCGACTTGGTCGCCGAACAATGAAGTGATTTTTAGGCGTTTTTTTTTTAAGAAAACATTTTAACTAATTAGATGTTTATTGTCTAAGACATTTTTGAGTTTCCGGTTTAAAGTTTGTTGTTGTTGCATCTTAAAACTTTGAACATCTTTTTTTTTTTTTTTGGTAAAATGTTAAATTTTATACCAGTTTTTGAATTGTGACAGAAATACAGAGACAATACAAAGTAAGAAGAAAAATAAAAAACAAACCTAAACACCACAACAACAACCAATAACTCATAGCCTTAGAAGAAGAGACCTACCAGTCCCGCCACAACGAAAACCGCCGCAGCTTTGCTGGAAAAGTACGAAACCACAACCACATCAGTCCCGCCACAACGAAGAACCATCGCAGTCTCGCCGGAAAAGTACGCTGCTACAACCACATCAGTCCTGCCACAACAAAAGATCACCACAGCTTTGTTGGAAAAGTACGGAGATATATTTCCACCATTAATTGGAGGGAGAGCTGCCTTCCATCATCTCTCAAACTAAAGAAAGTCAATAGCTGTATATTGAAGCTTTTATTTGGAAGGAAGAAGCTAGTGAGACTGCCACACCTTAGGACCTGCTATCAAAGAAGAAAGAGACAAATACACCATAACTGGAATCCATAACATCCAGAGACATTAATTGCTCAATACGCATTGCCACAGAAGCAAAAGACTCCAAGAATAAGTCTTGAGAAGCTCCTCATGCGAACCTTGACTGAAATTAACCAAGAGTCTTCTTCGAGCATAGAAAATCCGAGCTCCTCTCCACAACCAAGCCACTGGCAGCAGATAAGAAAAAGCCCAAACCTTGAACATAAGTCCCCACGCAAACCCTTAAAACAGAGCTCCTCGCCACAGCCGCTGTTAGATTTGACGGAGACCATGGACACCTGAGGCCTGCCGCAAAGCTTCCACCGAGAATCAGCCAGCCAAGTACCGAAAACGCCACACTACCACAGGAGAAGGAGATAGAGGCAATAGATGGTTGAATCCGTCCTCAAGACTAACCACATCAAACCCGACACCTAAACACCCGAGGGCTTGGCACTGACTCCACCGATTGATTCTCCCAGCCGAGAATATGAGGAGACAACGACTTGGAAAGTCGAGTTAAGTCGAAGCGAGAGAGAAGCCCGGCTGCTCCAAGAAAGTCCTCGAAACCCAGAGCAACCTTTCACTTTCGCAATCCACACCAAATCTGGCAAAGAAAAGGACCCTTGCCGCTACAAGTCACCCCCTGCAAGAAACCCATCTCTTCTACTCAGATATCGCTGTCAACACACCTACGAAGAGACAGAGCAACAACAGGAATGACACTGAGCAGAGAAAGAGAGGCGAAAAAAGAGGAGAGAACACCGGAGGGGAGACCAACGGAGGAGCCGCCGACCTCCCCGAGCACGATCAAGATCTGGATCTAGTTGTAGAGAGAGTTGAGAGGAAAAGCAGGAGAGAGAAAAAGTTTTTTTTTTTTTTTTTTTTTTTTTTTTTTT